GGGGCAACAACACTTGAACTTCGCCCCTACGTCAGGACAGTGATCCCCTTCATAAAACTTACTTGTACGTGTGTAGACTTTTTGGGGTATGTAGTGTCGGAAGAAGGTATCCGCACTGATCCAGAGAAAATTGCCGCTGTCAAGGATTGGCCGGTACCAGAAGACAAGACTTTTTTCTTTTCTTTTCTTTTTTTTTTTGGGTTTGTGCTCTTATTATCGGCGATTTGTGAAGAACTTTGCAGATATAGCCAGACCTCTGCACAAGCTAACTGAGGAGAAGCGACATTTCTGCTGGGATGAAAGTTGCGATATTGCATTCCAGGAGCTCAAGAACCGTCTGTGCAAAACACCTATTTTGTGGTACCCAGATGCGGGCAAGGAATTTATAGTTGACACAGACGCAAGTGATATAGGACTTGGCGGTGTGTTGTCTCAATGGAATGGTGATCAAGAGATTGTGATAGCGTACTTCAGCAAGTTGTTGTCAAAGCCGGAAAGGAACTATTGTGTTACAAGACGGGAATTGCTTGCTGTGGTAAAGTCCTCGCAGCATTTTAGCAAATATCTTCTGGGGCGGAAAGTCCGCTTATGAGCTGACCATGTTGCACTGAAATGGCTATTGCAGTTCAAAAATCTGGAAGGACAAGTTGCGAGATGGATTAATCTACTGCAGAAATACGACTTTGTGATCGATATTCGCAGCGGGAAATCTATATGGAATATGGGATATGGAAGACTAGAAAAATTGGTTAACTAGAATATAAATTTACTTCTGGAGTTACTCTATTGCAACAATCTTGGATAAAAAACCTAACTCTGATGTATGCCCTTATGTTACCATCACAGTAGGAGACAAACCTATGTGTGGGTTCCTTGATTCTGGCTCAGCTGTTACAATACTAGGTAACAACTCTAATTTTGATCTACCTTCTTCATCTAACTTATCCATTATCAAATGCGACACCCTTCAGTCATTTATTTCAGTATGAATTATCTGCGGTCGGGTATATTTATCTTCCCGTTAAATTTGAAAACCAATTTAACTACCTAAAAGCCTATATTATTCCGTCGGTTACATCACCACTCATTTTGGGTGTAGACTTTTTGGAAGAAATTCAAGCTATTCCCAAAGTTCTCTAGGTCTGTTTCACTATCTCATACTAACGAGCAGAAAATATCTTCTTTTAATAATAATTCTATAGCATTACGTTCTTATGATGATCTTAATGAAGCCCAAAAGAATTCGGCAAATAATATTATCAGAAAATTCGAATTAATATCTTATGAGAGAGTAGGATTTGCACGCACTCATCTGATAGAACATCAAATTGATACGGGAGATTCACTGCTTATCCACCTGCGGTACTATAGATTGGCAACAGATAAATTAGGCATCATTATCGAACAACTAGATGAAATGCTTAAACTCGGTGTAGTGGAATCTTGCGAGAGCCCGTGGTCTTCCCCTATAATACTCACGCCCAAGAAAGATGGTAAATTAAGATTCTGCCTGGACAGCCGTAAACTTAATTCTATTATTCGTAAGGATGCGTACAAGCTGCCGTATGTTTCAGAGATATTAGATAACCTTAAAAACGCTAAATATTTGAGCAGTATCGATTTGTCTAAAGCATTCTGGCAAATACCTATTTCCGAAAAAGACCGTGACAAAACTGCGTTCTATATAATTAAGTATTACCTACTTACGGTACGTATAGATTTGTCACCATGCCTTTCGGATTAACCAATGCTCCCGCTACGCAACAAAGGCTGGTCGACCAGTTGTTTAATAATAGTCCCGAGTTCGAATATTCTGTGCTTGTTTTTCTTGACGATATAATTTTAATGTCACCTTACTTTGAAGATCACATTTCGCTTCTTTTTTTTATATTCTACTAAGCCAGCGCTTATCTACCATCACTCCTGATGGTAAGTGGTGATGTAGCCTAAGATGGTGAAGCGCACTGACTTAACAAAAGCCTATTCACTCTTGCCTTGAAGACACCCACACTGTAATCGGATGGAAAGACAGATGCTGGCAACTTATTCCACTCCTTTTCTGTACGAATGATGAACGACGTGGCGAACCGTTTGGTTCGAATGCGTGGTAAGTCAACAACGAAAGGCTGGCCGAACGTCTGGTTGTCCGATGGTGGAACGGAGAGGGTGGAATTAAATTATGTAATTCCTGCGCACACTCTCCGAAATGCATCCAGTAGAAAACCAAAAGGCTGGCTACTTTACGTCGGTGTTAAAGAAGGAGCCAAGGTGAGCTGGCTCCTTTTTGCAGTGAACAGACACGCTTGTGTTTTTGAGGCGTTGAACTTCACAAGATTGGCATCACCCCAATCCGAGACTGCCTGTAATGTGAGATTCACATGCTTTACCATAGCTTCTCTTTCGGACTGGATTTGATCCCGACTGGCATAAGGACTTGGTTGGTGTCTCTCAATAACTACGCTATCATCTGCATACCCTTAGATACCGGGCATAAGCAGATCATTAATATGCAGCTGGAAGAGAGTTGCGGAGAGAACGGACCCCCGAGGAACACCGGCGTTAGTCGCCATAGGATCGGATTAGCAGCCATCGACCACGACCCGGAGAGACCGTTCACTCAGAAAGTCCTTTACTCATTCAATCAGACCAGGAGATAAGCCGTACGCTGGAAGCTTACCCAAAAGGCTAGTGTGCCAAACTCCGTCAAAGGCCTTCGAGAGATCAAGCGAAACAGCAAGTGCTTGCCCACTGTTCTCGAGTGCCTCGCCCCATACGTGTCTGGCATACGCTAGAAGGTCCCCAGCTGACCGATTTCGGCGAAACCCATATTGCCCGTCACTAAGGAGGTCATTCTGTTCTAGGTATGCCATTAAGCGGGCATTCAATATACGCTCTATAATCTTGCAAAGTATGGAGGTAATTGAGATTGGACGATAATAGGCAGGGTCGGCGCGGCTGCCTTTTTTTGCAACAGGCTGCACGTTGGCCAGCTTCCAGGATTTTGGCACTATTCCAGTACTAAATGAGAGGCGGAACGCTTGTTCCGCCTCTCATTTAGTACTGGAATATTAATATTAATATTATTACTGGAATAATAACGCATTCAGCGTTAAACCATGGGCGAGCTTTGCTACCGGTGGGAGCGTCAGAGAAGGGGACAAAGTACTCCATAGCTTGACGCAACACATCCGTTATCGCAACCGCGCAGCTCCACGGATCCGCAGAAGAGAAACAAACAATTCTAAAATCGTTCGCTCGTAGAATTACCTCTTTTAGGTCCTCGACCCTTGTTGTCTCACTAAAGTAAACTAATGATTTAAGGCGCAGGTTGAGCAAAATGTCGCGCTGGTCGTTATTTGTGCGGTTTTTAAGAGCTATCTACTTTTTATTTAAAAAATATATCAACAAATAAAAAACAAATTATATTTCTACATAATCTTGATTTCATAAGAACTATATCCAATTTTTTTTAAAGGAATAAATATTAATATAATCTCCTTACAACGAAACCACATAAATGTGAAATTATTATTGATAACATGCATCTCCTCGTAAAGTAAGTATTATTTTATTTTGCGATTTACACCAATGGATAGGCAATATATTAATGAACATTTCTATTATATTTTTTTTTTCAAAAGACCAAAATTTGATTTTATTAAGAAATTATTTTAAAATCTGGGCGTATTCACTGCCCACGGGCTTGCTCAAGTCAGTGAGCGCTGAGCTCTTCGACGTGAAGCCCGTGTCATCGGCCAGCGCACACGCTCACGTCATGTCAGTCGATAATATTATTACTTATTAGGTTATTTATAAGTAGTATTATTTGTTTGTTTTGGGTATAATTTTTCGTATTAGTTATACATATATTTGTTGTGTTTTTACTGCGTGATGAAGCTTTTTGCGTGTATTTTCTTTGAAGTAAATGCAAATAAAAAAATGAAGCACCATTAGCATGTAAGGTTCGAATCCATAATTAACATTTCGACAAATATTATAATTTACACTATAAAAAGCTAATTCAATATTATCAGTATAGTATACAGTTAAAAATAATTTTAATACCCAACCGCAATATCTTATTAGGTATAGTACTGCCTCGTTGGTCTAGTGGTTGTAGTAGTGCGACTGTTGATTATGAGGTCCCGGGTTCGAATCCTGGGTCGGGCCAAAAAGTCAGTTATGAGTTTTTCATTTATGTTCTAAGTTATAATTAGTATTACTAAGTTATAGTTTTTTGCTAAAATATAGTATATTATTTATTGCTTGTTTTTTCTTCTTTTTCAAAAAATAATTGAGTACATAAGGTGTTCTATACTTATAACTCGGTAAAAGGTATCTAAGTAGGTACTAATATACTTACTTTTTACTATAAACTAAAAGAATTTAATAAATCATTTATTTGCAAGAAATATGGTTGTTACACAAGATGTTAAATTAAGAATTTAAAAATATAATAGAAATAAAAATAAAAATAAAGAATTTAAAACTAAATTTAACTAAAAAGACTAAACTGACCATATATTTTTTAACACGTTTATATATTTTTTAATACAAAAATGCAAAATTCACCGACACGTCCAATAGGGTTTTTTGAATAATTTGTTTTTTATAGTCATAGGGTAGCCCTAGTAATAATATAATTTAAAAAAAAATAACTAAAAGTAGGTTTTATTTCCCTGAAACACATATGGTTCATGAGCGTAAAGAGACAATTTTGCTCCTGCACGTTCATGGACCACATGTGGTTCAGGGAATATTTTTTTTATATTTATGAGTTTTTCATAAGTATTTATTCTATTAATTACTTTACTATTATTATTTATGTATTTTCACGATATTTACAAACTTGTGCACATTTGATTATCTGTGGAATATTTTCCATAGATTATAGATATGTTGTCAATTATGTTATGTCATTGTCATATTTATGAATTCTGTTTGATTCTGTTCATGAAATTGTTTCAAGGTTATACTGTACGCGTTTTTTGTTGTTCAAAATGCCTCGAAGATTATCAACTGAGGACTTGCGACGACTACTGGAAGAAAGTGACTATGAATTGAGTAACGATGACACGGATTCGAACGGCGGCGATAGCGATGTACAAGACGAGCTAGATTCTGATATTTCGGATCAAGAATCGAGTATTTTTGCAGATGACGATATCGATGATCCGGATTTTGAACCAGGTGAGATTTCCCGCTCAAACATTGTAACCGATGATATTGGTAGTGATTCACCAGCTGATAATTTATCCGATATCGTCATAAATTCACCTCGGCCAGAAACGAGCAGAAGGCGGACTGCTGGTGAGATTATGCGGCTTACTCTGCAAGAAATAAATGATATAGATAGAGAAAATGGCTGGAGTCAGGACATCTTACCACTGTCACGTCAACCTTATAATAACAGCCCAACTATTTATATCCAAGGTGAACAATCTGTTGTTTCCATTTATCGACGTATATTGACCGACGAAGTGTTAGATCTTATGGTCACTCAAACAAATCTGTACGCTTCTCAACTGAAACAGAACGTCAAAATATCAATTCATAGTCGCATGAATCGGTGGACAGACATTACACGCGAAAAAATGTTCCAATTTATTGCCTTGTACATGTTGATGGGTATTGTGAAATTTCCGTCGATTGAGTCGTGTTGGAAATTAGACTCTATTTACTACCATCTAATATTTCACAATGTAAACATGTCGTATAATCGCTTCTCATCAATATTACGTTGCTGGCACTTTGTTGATAATGAAGCTCCGAGGGATCAAAACGAACGTCTGTACAAGATAAAGCCACTTTTGAACCTTGTTATCAACAACTGGAAGAACTTACTGACACCTAATGAATGTATCGTCATTGACGAGTCGATGATGCCATTTAGAGGGCGGATATCTTTCCGTCAGTACAACCCATCAAAAGCTCACAAATACGGCTTGAAAATCTATAAACTTTGCACAGAAGATGGTTTTGTCTGGAACTATGGCATTTACATAGGTCGCGACCCCGATATCGCTGATTTGGATAAGCCGGGAAGTGTCGTAGTTCAGTTATGTGATGGTCTTCTAGAAGCTGGACGGATAATTGTGTGCGACAACTATTACAATATCGTTGGATTAGCAAAATATTTGCTGCAGCACTTATGCTTTTTCTATTACTTAAGCTGAGACAGACTTATGCGGCACTTTGCGAGTAAATAGAAAAGAACTTCCATGGGCAATAAGATCGAAAAAAATAGGACCTAAAAAGGTGAAGTAGTTGCTCGACAGAAGTGATGAAATGGAGAGACAAACGCGACGTTGCAATGATTTCTACATGCCATGACGCTACTATGCGAATGTCTTCGGGATATCGGCCAATTTTGAAGCCGGAAGCCGTGCTCTATTACAATGAGCGAAAAAAAGGCATAGATGTATGTGACCAGCTTTCAAGTTATTATGATCCAAAAAGAAAGTCTCTGGCATGGTACAAAAAGATCGCTTTAGATATTTTGATATATGCTTCAATAACAAACGCCACGCTTATGTATCACAAACTAGTACCGTAGTAACGTAGTAACCGTACTACAGACGCAGCAAGAAATTATTAGGGAGTTCTTGCAATTGAACAATGCATCAGATGCAAGTGCAATTTCATTGACAAATAGTCCAAGACCATCTACTAGCTCGATCACAATTCAGCACTTTCTGTCTAAAATTCCGAGGAAAGAGGACACACACACACACACATAAAATTGTCCGAAAACGATGCCATGGATGCTACGAAGACTTGCGAAAAGAAGGTACAAACTGGGAAATTGCTGCTAAAAGAGTGAAACGAGTAGATACTGAGTGTTTGCAATGCAAAAAATCGTTTTGTTTATGCTGTTTCCAAAAAAATCATAATAAGTAAAATTTGTGATTTTTTAGAAAAATTTAAATATTTTTTCGTACGTCCCGGCGTTTTTATTAAGTTTATGATCGTACCTGCACGTCCAGTGCAGAAACAGTACAGTCCCTTCACGTCCGGTAGAAATATTTGGACATGGGTTTATTTATATTCTAAAAACTATAACTTTATACAATTAGTGTTCACTACAAAATTATATCCGGTAAAGACGGTAATTATTAAATGCAACATATTTTTTTTTATTATTAAGTACATTTGTCAGTGGATTAAATTTGCTTTAATAAAGTTGGTGATGATTTTAAATAAGAATAAAATTCTGCTCAAGTTTTTTTTATTGTTATCTTTGTTAACAACATCGCCTTTAGAACTGGAGCCGTAAGTGTTTCTTTCAGACGTCCACAATTTATTCAAAATTAAAAAAAATACACTTTCTACCGGAGCATTTGTACCAGGTAGACATAAAATATATTCGATTAAAAAAATTATGTTGAAGATTGTTGACTTTGAATACTTCCATCCAACGAATTACGGGACAATTTTGTGTCCCGGAGCTTTATTTGGGGACAATGGGACAGGTGACCGAGAAAAGGGACAGTCCCGTTCAAAACGGGACGTATGGTCAATTTACCTATAACCCGGCGACGGCCCCGTAGCGCAGTAGCTTAGCAATCAGTTGTTGCGCTGGGGGCCGCGGGTTCGAATCCCGCACGGAACAAATATTTGTAAGGCCTACAAATAATTGTTCCGGGTCTGGATGTTTGTCCTTGTGCAATTTATGTTTGTAAACTGCCTCCACGACTCTCATTCTATATTACTCTCACTCTGCGAAACATCCTATTTATTTGTTTATTCTTTATTGCACCAAATATTTGTACAGAAGGTGAGCTATCTATCTATTTACCTATAGTGAGTAGGTATCTTTTAAACTCACAATTTTCAATGCTTCATTTTTAATATATAATTAATTATAAAATTTCATAATTAGATAATGTATGAGAATACATAATTCTAATATAATGCAACTAATCATCATCATCATCATTACAGCCCTTCACAAGTCCACTGCTGAACATAGGCCTCCCCCAAAGAATGCCACAAAGCACGGTCCTGAGCCACCTGCATCCATCGACTTCCTGCATATCTTACCAGGTCGTCACTCCATCTAGTGGGGGGACGTCCTACACTTCGCCTGCCGATACGAGGCTGCCACTCGAGAACCTTTCTTCCCCATCGGTTGTCGGTTCTTCGAGCTATATGGCCGGCCCATTGCCACTTCAGCTTACTAATCCGTTGGGCTATGTCGGTCACTCTGGTTCTACTGCGGATATCCTCATTTCTGAGTTTATCACGCAGAGAAACTCCGAGCATAGCCCTCTCCATAGCTCGCTGAGCGACCTTGAGCTTCTTCATCCGGCCAGCAGTGAAGGACCACGTCTCAGTTCCGTATGTCATCACTGGCAACACGCACTGGGTGTACAGTCTCGTTTTCAAGTTTTGAGGTATACCTGACGAGAAGATGTGCCGTAATTTCCCGAACGCTGCCCAACCGAGTTGAATCCGTCGATTGACCTCTCGGTCGAAGTTGGACTTACCTAGTCGGACTATTTGTCCCAGGTAAACATACTCGACAACAACTTCGAGCTTAGTGTTCCCAACAACTACCGGCATAGGTGTGACATGGACATTAAACATGATCTTTGTTTTGTCCATGTTCATCTTAAGACCTATCCGTTGGGAAACACTATTGAGGTCATTGAGCATAGTGCTTAAGTCCTCCAGCGATTCTGCCATAAGGACTATATCGTCGGCAAATCGAAGGTGAGTGATGTACTCGCCATTGATGTTGATACCGTATCCTTTCCAGTCCAGAAGCTTGAAAACATCTTCCAATGCAGCGGTAAAGAGTTTCGGGGATATGACGTCACCCTGTCTTACACCTCTCTGCAATTGGATAGGTTTCGTACTATGGTTCTGTACTCGGATAGCCATCGTAGCTCTACTGTACAAACACTTCAGCACTTCGATATACCGACAGTCAACTTGGCACCGCTGAAGGGACTGCAGCACCGCCCAAATTTCGACGGAATCAAAGGCTTTCTCATAGTCCACATACGCCAGACATAGTGGCAAATTGTACTCCTCGGACTTCTGTACAATTTGCCGAAGGGTATGTATGTGGTCTATGGTGCTAAAGCCTTTTCGGAAACCGGCTTGTTCGGGAGGCTGGAAGTCGTCAAGTCTGCGCGCGAGACGATTCGTAATGACTCTCGAAAACAGCACGTAGACGCGGCTCAGAAGGGAAATCGGTCTGTAGTTCTTCAAGAGAGCGTTGCAACTAATATACCGAATAAAAAAAATTAAAATACATTTATCGTTGTTCGCTGTGTGTATTTCCATAAAATAATTTTTTGATGTTGAAAAAATACTACGTCCGTACAGTAGGTGGCGTCTTACATATTATTTCTTCCGCGATCCTATATTGTAACGAGTCGGCGCGGCACGGCACACAAATGCTCAAGGTCGTTCGCATGGAGTAGCCCCTTAGTACATAAAAAAAGTCAAGAGGCGTCAAATCAGCTGATCTGGGAGGTCAGTGGCCTGGCCGCCGCGACCTTTATAAGGCACTCCGAACTCTGGATTTTTAAAGACTTTAACATACTTGAAATAAGGTTCTATTTTCTTTATTTTGTATTGAATGGCGGAATTTGTATTAATACAAATAAAACTGCACTTTTAAAAGTCTTATTGCCTTGAGTTACGGTCCATTTCAGTATGTTTTGACTGTACAGGTTTAGGCGTGACTGTAAATTACGTAGTTTCAATTATTTTTGGGATAAAAAAATTACCTATATTAAAAATGTTAGAAACCGATTCAGTAAACGATTCTGAACAAACTACTTTCACAAAGTGCGTTAATTATGTTACGTCTTGTCAGAATGTATCAGAGAACGCACGTATGGCAATTCATAGTGCGGTGTTAGTCCCTACTTTAATGTTTGGTAGTGAAAGTTGGGTCTGGCAGAAGAAGCATGAGAATAGAATAAATGCTGTAGAAATGCGGTCATTAAGGAGTATGCTAGGGCTGAATCTGAATGACAGGGTGAGAAATAGTATGATAAAAGAAAAGTGTGGTTTGCAAGATGACGTTGTGACCAAGATTAAAGAAGGAATGCTTCGGTGGTTTGGTCATGTAGAAAGAATGAACGAGGAAAGAGTGACAAAGCAAATTTATGTTTCAGAAGTGAACGGCAGAGTCGGGAAGGGACGCCCTAAACGAAGATTTATCGACCAAGTCAAGTTGAAAATGGGCCAGATTAGGAGTACCCTTAACCGACGAGCGTGTATGCGTAGATATATGGATGTAAAGGAGGCGAGAGAGGTGTGTCAGGATCGCGCCAAATGGAAGTCCGTAATCTCTGCCTACCCCTCTGGGTGACAGGCGTGAGTGTTTGTGTGTTTGTGTTTTATACTCAATATCACTAAACGTAAACACAGGCTTTTATCAAGACAAGTGACCTATCAAGATTGTTTTATTAGTACCGACGTACCTACCTACAGTTTACATTTTAGTGTCCACGACCACAATGTCACGAATGGTTTGTGACATTTTGTTGTATTGTAGGTTGCAGGTATAGTAACAGTAGGTTACATATGATAATCCCACATAATATACCTAGTTTTTCGGCCGCAAAAGTCGTCGAATAAATAATTAAACTCTTTTGTAAATATTTATTTATCTATAAGATATTCATTAAGAGCCGTGGTAGCTCAGATGTTTAGCGCTTGCTGTAAGTATCACACTACGCGATGAACCCGGGTTCGATCCCGGCCGGCACCAATGAAATTGGAGCAATTTATTTATCACATTTTAATTATTTTTATAAATACGTTTAAAAATGAAAATATAGTTTTGTAATTAAATTATTATTACTGAATTAAATACACAATTACTGACATTGTTTCCCTTTACGTCTGCGGTTTGTAATTACCGCCTCTAGGTATATTTTCTAATAGCCCAGATATATTTAAAAATGATGATAATCCACTGACATCTTAACATGCATCTGGCTTTGAGGAAAGTTCGTCCCGTTGTATATCACCCAATAATTTTACATTCACTACATCCACCTGTTTACCCATTTGATATTTTTTACTAGCCTGAAAAACAAAACGAATTAAAAAAATCTGAATACCTGCCATATAAGCCAACTAAAACTACTCTTTTTATGTAAAAATACCGATTTGAAAAAAAAAAGTTCAACAATCATTTATATTTCTG